CGCGCCAGCTTCAGCACCGTCAGCTGTCCGCAGCTGGGCCGCCTGCAGGAGGTAAGGAGTTGGCAGGGCCGCGGGGTGTGAGACCCAGGCCAGCGCAGGACAGACGAGGGTGATTCTGGAGTGGCTGTGGCGTCGGGTCCCCTACCGTCGCAGACTAGCGTGATGCGCGTCCTGCACGGCTCTGCCCTCGAGGATGGTGCCTAATTGGCTAATCCCCGGAGTTTTACAGTCTCGCACATGATTCCTACAAGACACAGTGGGAAGCCAACGTTCTTGCCGCTGGAGTGTGAACTGTGGCCACTTACAAGAACATTGCTTTAATTTTTAAGTATTTCTAGAGCCTGGATTGTCATTCTTATCACTGTTCTGGTCAAATACTTGTGCATAGATTATTTAAACCTTGAAAGATGGTCTAAATGTCAGGGCTGCGCCAAGAAAGCTTTGATGAACTGTGTTCCAGAAAAAAAGGGGTATCGAATATGAAGAGGTATACTGTGCATTGAATGAATCATAAAAAATACTCCTTCTTGTCTTGCCCCCAAATACTCAGGCATTTTTGCATGCAAACTTTAAAAGAAAGAAAAAGTTCAGGTGACTTTTTGCTATATTAATTTTTAAAAATTGCCATGAAATTTAGTTGAAAACTTGTTATTAAAAATGTAACTATATATATACATATATATACAAACATCCATATATATGTATGTATATATATATGTATATATATCTTTAACAAAGGTTTGGAGAGATTACATTTTTAAATCTTTGATAAATACCCTTCAGAGGAACCTAACCCAAAAACAAATCCAAGTTGATTATTAAAAAGGTGCGAAATAGAGTCAACTTAAAGATCAACAACAGGAGAATATAATTGCTCCTTTTAATACTCCAGTATAGTGCTGGATAACAATAACTACACAATAAATAAAAACCAGTTAATGAGGATTTGTAAACTTGAATGCAACAGACGTCTAAACATTATGTGACTGTACGGATTTGTGGACTTTCTTATCACTACCTTGCTTGAGGGGAACTGATGCTGGGCTAATAGTGATCACAACTTGCGTGGGAAAAACAACATGCTATCTTATGATGCTGTCTTAATGGCACAAGCATGTACAAAATGGTTATAATTAGAGCTTATGTATTTCAAAGTAGATGTCTGAGACAAGTGGTCTACAACCTTTCCAGTTCTATGATATAAAATTAAATATAGTAATTAAATTATTATAAAAAGTAGCCAATTCTATAAAAATTTTGGTAATGTCCTCTAGTGGATTATTTAAAGATTAATGTTACAAATGGTAGTTTTAAGTCAATTCATTACAGTTCCTGGAAGATTTTCTATATTGAAATGAAGCAATGAGATTTCAGAGGGTATTCATGAAAAGAAAAATCACAATTCTGGGGTGAGGACCATAAAAGACTAGTTGAATTTTATTATTTATAGTTATCAGTTTTTCCTATGTTGATATTAATAGAAATGCTTAAAGAATTATGAACAACTCTGAAGGAAACATTACATGTGTGTACTTGAAAGTTTAAAAATTCTTTATTCTTTTTATAATTAAATATTGGTGTATTAAAATATTTTTTTTAAATAACAAGTTAATTTATCTTAGAAAACTAAGTTTTTAAATTCCTCTGCTCCCAATAGAGAGACTCTTAGGGCTTAGAGCTGTGTTGTTGCTGTTTACTATAAATCTACCTGGTAACCCTTCACCTAAGTCTAGAGTGGCCATTTTTAAATTCACTAGAGAATAGTAAGAACTGTTTTTGTGTTTTGTGTTTGGTGGTATTTTTATATGTTCATTTCTTTTGCTCTGATAGATCAAAGTCCAACATTGATGATTAGGTTGTCACTGTTAATAAATAAGCCATATAGCTTTTAATGTGTGTTCAGAAACAGATTTTATTGAGTATTTAAATTCCTAAACATCATATTAGGTGAGTGAAATTTCTTCCTAACTCAGGCTCCTCTTTTCTTTTGTACCAGAAACATACCAAACTAAGAGTTGGTTAATACTTTTCATCCTCCAACAAAACATGGACACTTTCTGTTATAAAAAGATGGTGATTGTTCTTGAACTGTTGGAGACATTATACCTTAGAGATTTGTGAGCAAGAAATTAGATATGGATACCTAAAGAGAATTTTAGAAATTCCCTAGAGAGTCATCTTTACAGAGAAACAAAACAGTAAAACTTTTTTGGTTAATTGAGTTTACTGAAAGGGTTCAAAAAGGACTTGTATATTTGGTAATAAAAGTAAGTAAGGAAAGCTATTAAATACCATTATATATTGAAAGAAAAAAGTCCCATTATGATTTATTAGAGAGATTTAAAGTTTAAATGCTAATACATGGGCTGTCACATTAGGCAAGAAGGTTCAAAGTGTTTTTCACCAGATTTCAGTGAAAAACAAATAATTTACCAATTAAAGAGACACTCAAATATGTATAACAGACTAGACTGCAAAAAAACACAAAACATAGCAAACCTGAATTTGGAGCCATAGTTCGCTGGCACTTGCCATCTGTATGTCACATTATCAGCTATTTAAGTGAAATAACTTTTTGTATATTGTGGTAAAGATCTTTTTAGTATTTCACATGTGCTTATAAAGTGTGACATAAGCTAATCATCTCCTAAATTGTGTATTCTAATTTAATAAATATAAAATTAACTGTACTATAGATCTTCTACAGTAAGATAATGGAGAAGATAGTTCCTCAGTGTTTTTTGCTATTCTTAATTATATTTGATAATTGGCATGTCCAGGAATCCTAGCAAAAGATACATGAAATAAATTCCCATGTATCAGCGAGGGTGTTGTAACAGTGAGTACTTTGAAATAAATTACCATGTGTCAGTGAGGATCATACTGAACATTTATTTAACAAATTCAAATGCTCAAGGATAGAGAACTTATTATAGTTTCTCAATTTTCCTTATGTTTAGGCATTTTCTTTTCTGAATTCTTGACACTTAAAATTGTATGTACTACTTACTACTCCAGGAAAGCTCATTTACAACTATGTATGATAAGTTAGATTTTGTACCATACATACAAAAAATTCACTTTCAAATTAGGAAGTAGAAAATAACTCTCATTGTGCAAAGCACTTGGGTATAAATAAATAACTGATTAATAAGACATAGCTAATATTCAATTGTTAGGCTTAAAATACATTTTGAGTAACTCAATGAAAAGTTATGCAGTATTTTTCTTAAAGATAAACATGACAGCAGGTTTGAAGAAGCCATTTAATAATTTAAGCTATAGGAATCCTTAGAGACCAGTTAATGTAACACTATTATTCAGGTGAGAACACCAAACCTATAAATATTATGTTTCTCAAAATTAAGAATAAGAAAACTTGTCTAGAACCCAAGGCTCTGACACTTAGCATTCTGCTGCCCCTCTAAAGTTATAAAATATATTACAACATTGTTTTCTCTTTTATTATGCTTCTTCAAATGATTAATTCAAAGTTTTGAATAATTTAGATTTAAATAACTTTTGTATTAAAATGATTGTGCACAACAAATATGCATGTGTTTGTTATCATCATGTTGAAAGTTTTAGTGGGGTGTGGTGGTGAATGTCTGTAATTACAATTCCCAGGAGGCTGAGGCAGAAGAATAGTTACAAGTTCAAGGCCAGCCTGGGCAAAATAGTGAGTTCAAGGCTAGCCTGAACTACATGGTGAGGCCCTGTCTCAAAATATTAAAAAAAAAAAAGGTTCACTTAAATATGACTTCGCACAACTTAGATAATTTATTGATTTGCTTACTAATGCAATTTAAGTTTTGCTTTTGTGATTTGTAATCTTTATTCCAGTGCATCCCACGATATGTAAGTGTAAATAGGCTGTGGCATCTACAACTAGAAGTTAAAAGTATGCCTTTTAGGGGCTAGGGATGTAGCTCAGTAGCTTTACTGCTGCCTGGCAAGTGCAAGGTCCTGAGTTCTATCCCTGGTGCAAAAAAAAAAAAAAAAAAAAAAAAAAAAAGAATATGCCTTTTAGAAGTTTTGCCTTTTGCCTTTTAGATGCCTGTAAAATGGCTTTTAGAAGCCTGTAAAATGGCTTTTAGAAGTTATACCTGAACTATAGATACTTGTTGCATCTAGGTACATTTTTTAAGTTGAATACATTTATAGTTCCATATTTTAACACAAAAGAAAATAGATAAATGTAATGGCATCATTTGGATCCACACAATTTTTATTTTGGTATTTAAAATATATGAAACTATAAAAATAAATATATGTAGATGAGTGGTAATGATAACTACATTAATATTTTCCTTCTTTGAGTTAATATCTTGCTTTTCTGATATACAATATTTAGTCTTACATATAAAATTTTTGCCCTGCAAACTAGAATTTATGCTAGTAAAAATAGTCATTGTGTGAACTACCATCATAACTTTATCCTTTTCTATTTTCTACCTAATCCAGGATTTCAATGTGGGGCAATACCCTACTTGTTGTGACCTGTTTTATCACATAAGCTTTTAAGAACATCATGAGGTGACATTTAGTGAGAATGGTTAGACAAAATACTATGTGAAGCACCTAAAAGTTAAACTGAAGGACAGAAATTTAAGAGCCCAATTTTTGTTAGTTGAAGATAGCACAATGGTCTTCATGCTAAATTATCTCTATTGTTGCTGATTAGGTAGGGTTCTCAAGCCTATTGTACACATAAATCTTCTGGGGGTAATGCTGAAAAACTCCACCCAATATTCTGATTCATTAGATTTAGGATCTGATCTACACTTTAGGCACTTTTATTGATTTTTCTTACAATTTCTTAAACCTTCCAGAAACACGCCTCAGAGTTTTTTGCTGTTTCTCTTCCATTTACTTAGCAAGATTTCCCACAGTGTATCTTTATACTTTGCTCTCTGTCCTTCAAATTTTTGCTCAATATCAGTACTTATGTGAGACATTCCATCTTTTAGAAGATTGTAATGTGAGCTGTTTCTAGAACCTCTGATTCTCTGCACTTTCTCTACTACAAATTATCTTATATGTCATTTGTG